CGTGGTCGTATCATGCGCCTCCCGTTGAGTGGAAAGCTTAAGCTTGCAGCCGAGTGCCGAGCAAGCCTGTAGCTGTCAAGCTTCAATAAGTCCTCTGAGAGGGCATGGCATTTTGGGCCGTGGTAAGGCGTTCAGCTGACCCCTCTCTTGAGATCGATTGGCATGGCGGTCGACGCGCCGGCGCATTCCATTCACCACATCTATACGAGGTGAGGCTCTAGGTGGGCCGTGACCATCGCTACGGGGCGATGAGACCGATCACTGTGCGGTCGTGTCTTTCGCTGCATGTGCCGATGACATAGCGTAGAACGTTGCACCGAAAATGATGCGGTGCGGGCCCGCTGATGATTAAACACGTCCCAGCGGCGAAAGCGCTTCATCGCGTGGAAAAGTGGAGTCGCCGCGCACAAGGAGGGGAGGGTGGATGGGGAAAGGAGATGTTGGAGCGCGGAGAGGAAACTGGGTCGATGCTTACCAGTAGTTTCGTTACTTCCCCAGCTGGCATGCTTGTAACGCGACTTCCTCATATATCTCTGTGCACCATGGCACCGCCCTCAAGCCTTTAGTATTACATCACTTAGCACCCTCGACATGCAGTGCGGCACAAGTAAAGCGGATGTACTTCCCGATATAGCTCTCACAAGCTTGTCAGGTAGCCAGCAGCCACCCGCATCGTCCCCACACGCACTTCAGTCTTCGGGACTTGGAAGCGCCGTGAATCCGCCGTGCTGGTCGCTGGGTTCCGCTGTTCTTGATGTGACCGTCCGAGAGTATCGGGAAGTATAGGGATCAAGGACATTTTACCCAAATCAAGGCGAGACGACGATTCAGACACACCGTATGGTGAAGATACAACTATCTACAGGATGACTGTATTGCACGATACGAGCATCTTTCCAAAGGTTTATGTACTGCTTCCTAAACGGGATACAATGAGAGACAACAAGACATTATACATGGCCAGTGTCAGACCGGGCTTAGCCCCAAACAAGCTTCTTCAAAGAATACTCAAACTGTTCCAGGTAGCCGGTACTCTTCTTCGCGTCCACAAGGCTGATTATATCCTTTTCTTCTACCTTTAGTGTCCTGTCTTCATCCCTGCCGCCCTTCTTCATCTCATTGGCGATCCTCACAATCTCATCGCATACCGATTTGACGACCTCGCCTTCATTGTCAGGGTTATCGCCAGGGGACGACGGAACGCTGCTTCTCGGTGGAAGCGCTTTGAACGCTAGGAAGCGGCCCGCAGTATCCTGCTTCTGGTCTTTCTTGGCGTCGTCTTTGCGCTGCTCATCGCTGGCGGCTCCGGAATCTAGAGCCCTTGTATTGCGCCGTACTAGCTCGCCCTTGGTATCGGCTCGATATCGTATGATGAGACCAACGTTCTTGTCTGTGTCGGTGTGTCGTTGCGCTAGTGTGGACGTAACGTACACGCCTCGCATGAGGCCTTGCACGTTCTCCAGCGGGATGCGCTCGAACTCGCGTACTTTCTCTGTTCCCCAGTCGAGACGGCAGAAGTACAAGGCCTTTTCTGTTAGTAGAAGGACTGCTTCCTCAAACGTAGCAGTCTTGACCTGGTTAACAGCAGTGGGTACGCTCAACGTCCATCCATGTACCAGGTCTTCGTCGCGATCCTCAATCACGATGCCAGCAGAACGTTCGATGGCCTGCTGCCGCACTTTGCGCACGTCGATAAAGTAATCTGAGCTCTTCATATCGGCTTCGAATTCCGCGAAGATGGTATCGGTAGCGCGACCGAGAAGGTAGTCAATGACTGCTTGAGCAAAGTAGTCGTTCACGATGTTGTTGTAATATCTCGTGAGTGTCAGTCCAAAATCGGTAAGCGCACCAGTTATCTGTCGTTTCCGGGTCCGCGTAAAGTCGCCCTTTAGCGCAGCAGTGCCAGCATACTGCCGAGATATGGCATCCCCATTGTCAGCCCAGAGGGTGTTGAACCACGATGTACTGGGGTCATTCTGGAGATCGATGCTGTAGCTGCCCATTGACAGTTGTGCTTCAAGAGCGGTCCTGGCGCACGCAGATTGAACAACGTTGGTGCGGTCCAGACAGTCCATGCAGTTTGTACGCAAGACTCCTGACTGCTTCTGCTGTACTTGATCTCCAGAGATCTCCACCCATCCAGAAGATTTCATGAAGGGCTCGATTGAATCCATCAGCTTCGAGACGTTCTCAAAGCGCATACCGCGGCACACGTTGTGGAAGTCGAACCATTCGAAGCCCAGCTGCTTGCCTTTCCCGTCCATCCCGCTATTCTCATTGAGCGACTTCGCATGCTGTTCGTAAAGCTCGCCGATCTTCGCCTCAGTACCGTGTTTGTCGATGAGCGAATCACAGTATATTTCGCCATAGCGTGAAGACAGATCGGCGAAATGCTTCTTGAAAGCGCGAGCATTAGTCTCAAACGATCCCCAAGTAGACACTTGTGGTTTGAGGCTGTAGGGCGATTGAGAGAAGAACAGGGGAATTGAGCCTCGAATTTGTGTGAAAGAGAAAATCTTGTCTTGCATCGTGCTAAAAGCCGGGTTGGAGAGGATCTGTTCCGTCTCGACGCTATTCGCAGTACAGCCCTCGTCATCTGTACCCCGTCGCAGGTAACGAAGCCCAGCTCGCTTGATAGAACGTCGCGAGATGAGTGTCAACAGGAAGTCTTTGCCGTCCACAAGAGAGGCATCGGGGTCAGATGCTTCGCCAATGGCTTCCGTATTGGACTGTGAGTCTTCTTTCTGCTTTTCATGCCAGGACTGGAGCTGGATGTCATCTGGAGTGGCACTCGGGTCGACCACAAGACTGTTCGACTGGCCATCAGCTGTCTTGATCGTGAAAGGTCGTTGACCAACGAAGCCTTGCATTACGGGGAGCACAAAAGCATGCTGGCCCGCGTCCATGAAAGGTGCGATGATGTGCTGATTCCAGAAGAACTAGATACTGGTGAGCAATCGTCCGTTACATGGACAAGGTGTAAACTGACCAAAGGATCGAATTGTTTACACAGGGCGACACTAGAACTTGCTTGCTGCTGGCCAATACCGTGTGAGATGTCATAGTCGTATGAGAAGAAGAAGTTGCCTGATGAAAAGTACATTTTGGTGGTCTGCAGAATCTTTGGTAAGAGCGCTACAGTGGCTGCGTCCTTCTCGCCGCTCAGGGCCTTGGGTATGGCTTCTGGGCTGACTGGTCCCGCAATATCCTTGTCATCGGTAGGGATGGCATCCGGCTTAGACTCGCTCTTGGGCTGTTCTTCTTCCTTGGGCACCCCCGAGTCAACGTTCTGCGGCACGTTCTTTGCCGCCAGGTTCTCTTCTGAGCTCAGCCCCTGCAAACGCCTGTTGTCGGCACTCCAGCCCTTGCGCGAGAACCACTTGTCAGCGAATCTGCCATATACACCTTTCCTTTGTATAACGTCTTCGGCCACACTCGTCTTGCGCTGCGCACTGCCTTTTTGTCCGGTGACCGAATCCTTGACCTCGCTTGGTGTGGACGATGAGTCCTCTACAAGCGAGTCCGTCATACTGGGCGCACCATCCTCACTATCGCTATCGCTGTCTTCGTCTTCCAGGCCGGGTGCCCGGTTGCGGCGCTTCAGATGGTCACGCGTGGCTGCGATGGCCTTGTCGGCGTCGGCTTGCGAGGAGAGGGGGATGAGGGCGACATCGGTGATCTTGTAGATGGGCTTGCCGCGTATGAGCGCCACCTGTTCGCGGTCGGATATGGATATCAGGAAGTACGAAGTAGCCACTTTGAGGAGTCCTTAGAGTAGCGTCAGCCTGTGTCGCAATGCGCTAATGACTGCGCGCGTACCGACAATGCCATGCGCTTCCACAGACACGGGCGCCGTATCTTCTTCGCGCCTGTCTTTCAACAGGGGTGCGACATTTCCCTTGTAGTCGACCTTGATGGCCTGCTGTGTCGCGGGCGGATGGTTGCGGGGCGGGGACGGCTGGAGGATGAGACCGTCGACGGCGGCGAAGATAAGCAGCTTGCGAACAAGGGAGGGCATCTTGTCGGCGGCGCTATGCGCGTTCAGGGCTGAGTAACTCGACGAAGTGCGACATCAGGTCGCTTCTAGGCGCGTTGAGACGCCTGATGGGTTGAGCCGCCATGACGTCGTGTCGCGCCGCGCTAATCTCAAGATTTCTTACCCCACGCGTCCTCCTGTCAACCATCGTGACATGCTCAACTATCCCCCTTTTTGTCTTGCGTCCTAACTAACATGTAATACACGGCTTTCAAGGGTTCTCGGGGTACTTCTGGCACAGGCTTCGTTTCTCGCTCAGGGAAAGCGGTGCAGGTCAGAATTGGATGCCAAGAGTGAACTGGTGAAGACATACTGGGATGCATAGCATTGATGCAATCAGCACTTGGACATTGCGTACAACCTATGAGGAGACCGATGATGTGGTATACTCTGACAGTTCCTGCCTGTTCTTTGTGAGTCATGCTATTCAGCGTCACACCTTCTCGTCCACCATGCATGGGATCTGGCTCGGTGTTCTAAACGGAAAGCGCCTCTCGGATTTATGCGTTAACTACAGCCTGCGATGTAGTCATCCATAAACTCAGTCCTCAGATCTGACCATGCAGCGATTTACTATTCGTGTGTTCGTATATACGATGGACATGAGTAAGTCTTCATACATAGCACGTCTTTGTGGGGCGTTCGCATTACTTCATCAGGCCGTGCGAATCGGAGTTAGACAACTAACTCCGGATCGGGCCGCAGCTCCTTCTCGATCTACGGAGTTTCTGGTGTTACAAGTCCTTGTTTGTTCTTTGGCAAAGTCCAGACCGTACTTTATTCGTCGGGGATTACGGCTGGTGGACACATGGAAGACCCGTTTATGTTGTGCCGAATCGCTGGCAAGACATATATTCGCCCGCCTTCCACTCTAGCTTGAGTATCACCAAAATCCATCTCCTCTACTTCAATCAGAAATCTGCAAATCATCCGTTTACCGAAATCTAGTCAACTCGAAGCGAATATGCCATCGAACTCAGACAAGGAGGTTGTGCTCGTAACAGGTACCAGCCCTCCAGACCTTTACCAAGCTCGTCATACTGATAGCCTCTGTAGGAGCAACCAACGGTATCGGTCTGGACACCGTCATTTACATCGCCTCTGCATCTACGAAGTACCATGTCATAATCGGCGCACGCAACATGTCGAAAGGCGAAACAGTCTTGAAAGATGTGCAAGCCAAGGCAGGCATCCAAGGCACACTCTCCTTAGTGCAACTCGACGCCAATGACGACGCTTCTATCAAAGCTGCGGCCAAGAAGATCGAGGAGGACTTCAGCAAGCTCGATGTGCTTATTAACAACGCTGGCATATGTCCCGAAAGAGACGGCACGTGGCCGGACCGGGAGCTAATGCGCACTACGTTCGAAACCAACGTCTTTGGCCCTACCATCCTCACAGAAGCTCTCATTCCCGCAATGAAGCGCTCATCCAATCCGCGCATCATCAACGTGTCCTCTACTATGGGTAGCATCACTCTGATCTCCGATCACAGCTCTCCTTACTCCCAAATCAAATACCCCGGATATCGCATGACTAAAGCTGCACTCAACATGTTAACGGCATACCAGTACACCCAGCTCAAGCCGGATGGCTTCAAGGTTTGGACGTACTGCCCAGGCTATGTGGTGACGGACTTAGGGGACGACAGGGAGCAAAGGAAGGAACAAAACGTTGAGAGTTCAGAGACGAGTGCGCTAGGACTGTTGCAGATTGTACAAGGCGAGAGGGATGCCGATGTAGGAGGGTTTGTCGGCAGATATGGACAGAAGTATGGTTGGTAGTGACTGGTAGCCTTCCATGCGGTAGTAATTCACAGCACAAATACTACCTTGATGATTTCCCAGGAAAATGGTTTTCGTCGCATTTTAGCACGCTATGAGATCTTCCGGGGGCCTTCAATGTTGTTGATGGTTAAGGTGGTCCTTCCGGTACAGGCGGCTTACCCCACTTTTCCCCTGGCAGCTCCTGTCACCGCGTCATTGCTTCGTGCAACGAACTACTGCAACGCGTCTTTATTCCATCAGAAGCGCGCACGAACGCGAAGTGACGCACGTGCAGATTTACGGTCCTACAGAATCTGTACCTGATACATTGAGAAATTTCCGAGCCGTTACACTGAACCCACGTGGTGCGATGAACCAATCGCGGGACCCGATGAGCGCACGCGACGAGCTAACACCAACGCGACGCATGACGGGAACGACTTCAACATCTGAGCTTTAGTGCATGCCGTTGCGCGCTGAACAGCATGGGTGCGATGGCGTATAAAGGTCGGGCCTTGTTGCTCGCGGTCTTTTTGTTTGCTTTGTGCGTCTTCACCTTGACCGCAGACTTCAATTCAGAAGGAAAGAGCAACATGTTGGGATCATTGGTAAGGATAACTCCTGGCATGCGAGAACGAACGGATGCTAATGGTATCAGGCTTCTGCGAGCGTAATGCTCTTGGCTCGTATGTTGTCTTCTTGCGCGGAGGTGCCCAAGCTGACAATACATAGAAAGCGCACTGGCATCCAAGTCTGACATCCGTTTCAACCATATACAAGTCGTCGGAACGCACAACTCCTACCATCGTGAAGTCTCACTCGCCGAGCGGCCAGTCTTTGAGAAATACGTACCGTCTCCAGAAGACTACTACTACTCGCACGCAGAGCTTGACAATCAATTGGAGTACCAGTCCGTGCGCTCTTTCGAGCTCGACTTACATTCGGATGAAAAGGGCGGCCTGTACTATCCCCCTGTCATATGGACACTGTCAAACTTGACAAACGTCACCACTCCTTACAATGGTGACATTCTGAAGAAGCCAGGTATCAAGGTGTTCCACGTCACGGACTTCGACCCCGATTCTGTCTGCCACACCTTCATCGACTGTCTCAAGCAGCTGAAGAGCTGGTCAGACGCAAATCCGAGACACGTCCCTATCACTATTGATCTCGAGCTCAAGACCGATGCGCCGGCATGTTCGTTAGGCGGTGTCTGTCCTGGCGAAGCGACGAACTGGACGCTCCCTCGCCTCTTGAACGTCGATGCGGAGATCCTCTCCGTATTCCCTAAGAAGCAACTCATTCGCCCCGATGACGTACGCAAGAGTGGTCTTACCCTCGAGCAATCTATCCTGCAACAAGGCTGGCCGAAGCTGAAGGATGTTCGCGGCCGCCTTCTGTTTTTCTTCGATAACGACCCAAAACCCAGTGACCCCAACTCGCCTCGCGAGCTCTACAAAACCGGCGCTCCCTCGCTACAGAACCGCACTGTCTTCACCAATGCGCTCGAAGGCTCTTCCGATGCTGCGTTTATTAAATACAATGAGCCGCGCGGCAATGGCACAGCAGAGATCCAGCGGCTTGTCAAGAAGGGCTACTTGATCCGAACACGTGCTGATATACCCATCGATACCATCTTGAACCGCACTACAGAGATGAGGGATTTGGCTTTTCAGAGTGGTGCCCAGATTGTTAGCACTGATTTTCCAGCTTGGGGCATGAGCAGTCGATGGGGCTGGGATTATGTCGCCAGGCTTCCCGGAGGATTGGCTGCGAGATGCAATCCTCTTATCGCACCGGAGGGCTGCAAGGACAAAGATCTGGAGTAGAAGATGAGAGAATAGAAATGACTCATATCACGCCGCGATCAACATCACAATCTCACCACCACCTGTGACGCAACTTGAAGTGAAGGAACATCGGTCTCTTCTAGCATACATCTCAGCACAATGAAGGATGCGTGATGTCGCTTGCGCCCGAGCTTAGCGACAAGCGAAGGCGGTGCATAGCAGGTGAAGATGAGCGTATACTTGTCTCGGTGAATTCACGACTAGGCAGGGTGGCGAGTTCGAGCAAACACGTGGCCCGTGCGCTCTCTAGCCCGCCCGCTCCTGCCCGTAGTCTTAAGTAGTCTGCCTTCTCTCTCCTCTGCCCTTACTCTCCACCATCTACTGACTCCGATCCTCAACCCGCACCTTTCGCAGAATGTACACGAAGCCCTTTATTGCTCCGCGCTCGCGCGCATCATATCAAATTGAACTATACCTACTCTCCTTTTTTCAACATGCGCAACACTTCTGCTTCAGCATCTCGACTGCACAGTAGCAATGTCTGTGGTATGGAGACTTCCCGTACTCAGGTATTGCGACCTGCCGTAGGGTTCCACAAGCTGTTCCGTCTGTATCTTGGAACAAGGAGGGTAGCCACATCTTCCTTCCTTCCTCATGCGGCATTTTTCACAAGGTTTTTTCTTCGGTTTCGCGTTCGTGCGGACCTCTTCTACATCTTTCGCTGATTCGACGGCTACCTACCTTCAACCTTGTATGGCCTTCGGGCTGATCCTCATGGCTCCGAGGCAACGTCTTTCACCAACCTAGAGATTGGTGTATGGCTTGCCCATACCCTGCGCCGAAAGCCGTGCTTAGCATGCTGCTTACCGGCCAGCCGACCCTGCCGCTGGTTCTGAGGAGCCTATATCAGTACTCTGCTGGGAGTACTGACGAAATCATCAGTATGGATTCAGCCTTACGGCAGTACTGATGAGTCGACCTCCAGTCGGCGCCTCTCGTGATAGAAACGGAGGGACACTGCAATGAGGTGTAAGGCCGAGCCTGTCCCCCGTTTCTCGAATAAAACTTGGTTTCGTTGCAATTCTGCTACACATTCTTTTCGTTTGCTTTTGCGGCATGCTGCTGGGCTGAAGAAGGGATAGTTGTGTTTGCATGCAAGTGTACAGTCAAGTTGGATAGCAGTAACCAGGCGTCTCTATCTATCAAGAGCGTGAATTCCGTGTTGTTCCAATCTTGCGTTTGCTTCCCTCTTCGTGCACTCCACCGCCACTCCATCACTCAATGCTTCTTCTACTTCTGCCTCTGTATCTCGTCTTTGGAGGCAATCATTTATAACGGCTCGAAATTAGATACTATACTCGTGTCAATGTGTTGCCCATGGGACTGTTCCTCCATTACACTTCAGTCAAACCACCGCCGTATGCTCCCATGTTTCTCTAAGTCCATGTGATACGTCGATGTCCACTTCGAGGGCCCGCTCATTCCACCGCCAGTGTCTGGATGATAGTATGGCGGCGGGGTGACTTTCACCGCTTCACTTTCACCAAAACACGCTCATTCACCGCAGTAATGTCGCTTTCCTATTTGGATTTCGAGCTAGCTGGAATTCGCAACGCGGCAATCTGTAAACCCTCATAGTCACCCACACGTACTCCCTTGCGCACTCCCCACTTCCCCGTCCTGACTATCAACACACATCGCCTCCAAACAGCGGAGCAATTTCCAGCTCAACGATCATCATGTCTGATTTCTCCGCACACCACGATGAGCGCTCTACCGTCGCACCTCCAATTGAGCACACCGATCTCCCGCGGCCTGAGAAGCGGAAGATTCGACATCTACACGACTCCGACGAGACTCGTCCCCCTAAGCGCTTGCGCCCAATCGCCGGTGTCACTGAAGCGAAGCCTCGCAAAGGCAACTTCTGGACTCTACCCGAAGAGCTGATGCAGCTTGTTTGCCAATACGTACGTGTAGTAACCGACCGCCGCAGGACCTCAAACTAACGCTTGACAGCTTTCTCAGCGCGACTTATATATTCTCTTGTTGCAATCCACTAAACGGAAACGCAAAGGAGCCACTAGGAAGCTGCAGAGGATATTCATTAGGCACGTCGAGCTGCGTGTGACGATTAAGCGCCAGATTTATATACAGCAACCATGCGCCCTCTTAAACCATCCATACAACTTCCACGCGATCACCTTCGACGTATCTGGACAACTTGGGTGGCAGTTGAACAGTCTTCTCGATGCTCTTAGACCAACTCCGGTCAAGGCAGTCATGTTCACCCCGGACAGTGTAGTGGTTCAAGGCACTGTGAACCGGATGCTACTCACTTATCAGCAACTGCCGAAGCCAGAGCTCTTAGTGGTACCTACGTTTCACGTTGGAGACCTTGCCCGTGTCTCCAGCCATGAAGCTTTCATGCACCGCCTCTGGACATTCCTCGACACGCGAGACCAGTACGAACGCCGCACGATCAACTTCCACAACACCTCCGTCACACGTCAAACCATATATGGACCAATGCAGCGGGCGCCCAAAGGCTACTACCTACCCAAAGACGCACCTCCTCAAATCCGAGAGCTGACTGGTCATTTCGGGTTGTGCATCGGACTCATCCGTATCGCATCTAGTACCTTGTTCGATGATCTGAAAGATCGAACTCTCAACCTCATCGTCGCCCCTTACGGCCCCGCAGAAATTGTCCGCGGCATGGTTAGCAGCAAGCACCAGTACCGAGTTCGTTCTGTGTCGATCATCAACGACAACCACAAGGACAACACGCTGATGGACGATATACTGACGCGACTCTTCAAGCAAATGCCCAATGGCATCATTCTGGAAGAACTTCGAGTGGCTGAAGTCAATCTTCTTCTCAAAACGGGCTACGTTCCACAACATGCCTATCTCGTCAACAAAATCGGCCTCTTACGACTGTACAACTGCCCTGGCTTAAGCCAATTCACAAGCGTCGATGCCTTCAGAAACTCTGATCTACACACGTTTATCTACCTACGGGATTACCCAAAGCTGAACCCTGAAGTACGAGCTGGAGTCTTTCGCAATGTGACAAGACATTGCAGCAAATTGGAGCACTTCTGCTTCCACGCGCGAAGAGACATTTCGGATGAGCAAGTCAAAACTGCGCTCAGCGCTCCTGATGCCAATGGCCAAATAAAGCCTGTATCACGGAAAGAGCGAAAGAAGGCTCGACAAAGCGAGGTGTATGGCATCGGGCACCTCCTGCGCAAATTGCCTCCAGTTTTGAAGACACTTTCCCTGCGCATTGGAGAGAGGTCAGAAGTTCCTGACCAGGAACTACAACTTCTAGGTCAGTACTTCCCAGAGCTACGCCACGTCGGCATTCCGTGCCCAGTGCTCTGGGACGCGATCGAAATAGGTCACTTGAGTGACGATATGTGGAGAGATGTTGGCGAACAAGCAACAATTCTCTCCATTATCTATGGACTCGAATACCTGCACTTGTTTGTCGCAGATCTGGGGACAGAGCCTAGAATGGGCACTAAGGCCATTGGCACGGCACTCCAGCGTGTTGCGTACGAAGTCCTCGCTATCGTCTCAAGTGAGTGTAGAGGACTTAAGTACCTCTCTATCACGGTAAGGGACTTCGTCGAGCACGCTGGAGGGAAGTCGGAGCCTGTGGCTGTGCACCTGAGGGTCAACAGGGATGACACAAAGCAGTCGGAGCTTGTGTGGGCGAAGGAGCTGGGCGTCGACATGGAGCTGTATGGTGACACAAAGGAGTGTACATATGAGGGCCTGGTGGATACGAAGACGGCGCGGTGGGTGAGGCCGAAGTACTGAAGGTCATGTAGGCATCACGGGAATGTATAGTATCACGACGGATCTGCTGTAAAGGAATTTATTCGTCAAGCTGTTTTACAAATCACTGATCGTGATGAGACCATTCACATGTAGCAGAATGAATTATGGTATTGCAACGACAGCACACAGAGCAAGAGACAACAAAGGTATGACAGCATTACTGAGATGATCTATGTATGCTCGTAGTAACCCAGAATTAAGCCGCACTACCTCGAGAACAGCCACATTGTTGAACTCCGCATCTCAATCAGGCATTAAGCATCGATGGTGGTACAGGCTGTCCACTCGATTTTAAAACCCTTAGGTGTAGCGTGGCAATGTTCTTCTTCGCTTCGACTTGAATTCTGATCTTCTCATGGAGACTGGTAAGGAGATTTTCCAATGCTCCAGTCGTGTGATCAGCATATCCGCCCGCTGCCTCCTTCCTTGCTACGGAGTTCTCTCCTCTCGTCAGTTCAATTACGGTCGCTATGTAGTAGTTGCTGCCTTCTTTGGCCTCGCCGTTCTCAACAACTTGGACGGGGTAACAGTAGACGACCAAGTCGGCCTTGGAATCGTTTAGAAAGATGCGGGCACAGTCTGAACTGATCAGTATATAAGAGCGCGTGATAATCGAGTGACACTACATACCAAGACACTGTTCGCGAATGTATTTCTCTTTCTCTCTGAAGTTCCGATCGTCCATGATGCGTAGAGTAAGGCGATAGTCGGAACGTTGGGGTTACAGCAATTGCTTTATTGATGGTGGTGATAAATCAATTGGTAGATCAACTTGAATGATATCTGAAGGCAGATTATTGAAGGCAGTGATAGAGGATGGAGCCATAGAATGCAAACACTGCCAGCTTTTATACCTATACTGACTCACGAACAGTATGACTTTACTGCTTGCTGTGGATCTCCGGCATTTTGAGTCAACCATGTTGGCGTTGCACAGGACGTCCGTGTAGTCGCAATGAACAAAGGACTTGAGCACCTTCAGACATGTGCGCAGTGACACAGTATCGTGGAGTCATACGATGAGAGGGTACACGCGTTAAGTAACGGCTCGCAAGCGATAGTATGAGGAGTGACTGTAGGGCCATGAGTTCACGGCTCGATTACCCATAACATACTCTCACATGAGTTCGAACGATCATGAGTTGTCGACACATCTTCCATTAATTCTATCCACCGCACCCTTACTATCACAGCTTCGTTCATCACACACACCCCCCTCCTCATCCCACTACCGAAAAGACCAAGAACCATCAAACAAATACACACCTGGTATCAAGCGCAAAAGACACGTGTATATTCCCCATGGAAAACAAAGAAAGACACACTCCATCCATATGCATGAAAACCAGTATTGACAAGGAAAGTAAGAAACACAACAGCGTGATTACAAAGTGAAAAATTGTATGTGGGGAAAGTGGAAGTGGTATCGCAGAAGCCTTCTTGAAATACCGCCCGTGTAAATCCCATGAACAAACGCCACGCTTGCTCGCAGTATGAAAACGCAAAATCGATGGTGGTGACAATATGCAGTGCGCAACATAGGCAGTAGCGGTATATCGTGAGTTGCTGCGCCGCGCTTGCCCTTTCGGTCCTTATCCGTGGCCTAATACCTCAGCTTACCGAGTAAACTAAAGCAGTAAGCACACTCCCTCTCACTCTTCATTTGCACCATGAAGACCCTCGCTCTTGCGCCCAAGACACCGCCCGTCTTGCCGACGCCGCCGACCTGACCGTCTTCATTCAAGTGGTCTTCCCATACGCTGACAGCAATACCACTGCGTGCGACGCGCTCGAAGCACGTCTCGGACAAAGTGACGTCAAGTAGTATTTCGCCGTGTTTCTTGCCTGTAAGGAGAATGCGTCGCTCCTGGGTGTGGTCTCTGGTACCAGGTGCGCGCTGTCGTGGGTTCGTAGGCGAGGATGGCACGCTTGGGTTGGGTGAGGGCAGCATTATTGTTAATCGTGCACTGCCCATGTCGCGCCATTTCTTAAGCGACTCTCGCTCGTAGAGCCTGCACTTGGTGTTCGTAATTCCAGCTGGTGCACCGGGCGCGCGTACAATATCGCCGGTAGGTGTAGATGCGCCTGAGCCGCGTGGGGAGTTGGAACCGCTGTCAAACGAGGAGCCAGTACTGCGGGATCCGAGTGTTGAGTTGCGGATGCTAAAGACGCCGCTCTTTCCGAACGAGAATCGGCCTAGTGCAGAGCGGAGAGCAGAGTTCATGGTTCCAACAGAAGACTCAGTCGCTGCGGAGATAGAGGCAGCGCGTGTGCTTGACTTGCGGTAGCTGCTTCTCCTACCTAGCGTACCTCCGAGCCAGCCAGAAGACTCAGCGCTTGTCCTAGCCGCGTTCTGACGGTCCATCGCCTCGGCCCAGCTCGATTGTCCGTAGGGGCCACGCGCGTTCTGGAGCGCGATGTAGGTGGGGTTGTTGATACGAGACTGGTTGATCATGGCGTATAGTTGGGCGCACTCTGCTGCATTGCGACTTCTCAACATAATGTTGTTGCCAGCTTTGATGCGCGACTCTGCGGTGGGTGGGGAGCGAATGGAGATATCAATGGCCGTTGATTTGCGCAACGGCACCAGAGGGGTAAGCTCAACCGCAATAAGGGGAGCACCTCCCTCGGGAGTGATGATCTCGTCGCCGTCGGCCAGGAAAGGCTTGGAGTGGTTGCTTGTGATCTCGAAGACCTCGATCTTACCTGGCGTAACGACGATGCTACATTCGTCTGGATGCAAACTGTCCCATCGGCCAGCATCGGACCAAGCGAAGATGGATGCGATGGTCTTGGAGGCTTTGCCGGAACCCTGCGGAACTGCTCTGTATGGAGTGTTCGACGCGGATTGTGATGGGGTGATAGTGCCGTTGGGGAGTGTGTAGATTGATGCAGGAGGTGAGACTTTAGGAAACTTCTTGGTCTCCTCCTCTACCTTCTCAACCTTCTCTGATGAAGTGGGACGACTGGCTTCTCTACCGGTGGTGTATGAGCGTCCAGGATACCCGCGTGGCCCAAGGTATCCGATCGGCATAAGTGGCATGGGAACGTCGTCATCTAACTCGTCTTCTGACGACTCCGAGGTGAGGCTTTCTTCATCTTCATCGTCCACCTCATCCTCAGAAGCAGTGTCCTCCTCGCTCTCGCTTGACTCCTCTGTGCAGGTAGATGGCTCATACTCATGCTTCAAGGGTGACGATGACCGGCGTTTGTTCTTGAAACCAGGTAACGTAGGAGTAAATACTGGTGTTTTACTTCCCTTGAGTGTCACAGGGGTTGCTGGACTGGGCGATCGATGCGGTGGTGTTGGAGGCGGCTCTTCGACCTCTGCTTTGGGCTCTACGATATCATCGACAACTATGTCATGTTTCTTTCCTTGCAGCTTCGATGGCGCGGAGGCTGAGACTTCCCGGAGATTGTCATCGTCATCGTCTTGATCCTGTGTTGGCGTAGAGGGCCGGCTTGATTTTCTTTGTCTTGGGATGCTCGGTAATTCTAGCGAGGGGACGGATGAGACTCGTCTGTGTGCCTGTGGACGTTGCGGCGAGGGAGGCGAGCCGGGTGGTGAGATCTCGGAATCCATGGTGGTAGTATTGTTGTCTTCTTCGGAGCTGTACGATTCTTCAGAGTCGTCGGAATCACCGACTTGCGAAGACGGCATCCAAACACTGTAACTCTTCTGGGGTCGCTTTTTAGTGGATTTTCGGCGTGGCTTGGACTCTGGTACTGGTGCCTGAATCTTCTCTGGCTCTACCGGATCTTCGAGAGTGATCTGACGGGACGGCCGTGCTGAATGTGGAGAAAGAGTAGGGTTCTTAGACAGCCTCTTCGCCCTTGTCCGCTTCAGACTCGAAGGCGATCCAGTACCCTCATTTCGCACCGCCTCGTCAAGACCACGGGGTGTTCGATCAGCATCATTGAGCAGTTGGTATGCCGTTTGCATGGCATCTGTGGGTGTGTGGGGTTCTGAGTCGTCTATTTTGCCAAAGACAAAGTCATCGTGACTGGGCGGAGTTACAGGCGAGATGGTGCGGGATTGGTTGCGCCTATCGGGTGTGTCATAGTGCCATACTTTTGATACTTCAGTATGTTGCTCGCCAATAGGTATGTCAATTTCATGTGGGCTTGGTGTCCTGCTCTTCTGTGGGGGTGTCGATTCAGTTGCAGCTGAAAGTAGAGACGAGGATCCATGGCTGCTTGCCGGCCTGTGTGTGGTGGGTGTGGCCTGGTTCTTCCTGACTTCAGAGATTTGAGGTGGGATGGGGTTGAGACCGAGCATCTGCACCCACTCAAAGCCAGCTTGCTCATCATCGGAAATCAAAGACATGATCTCGCTCCACTCTGATCCATCGTTTTGTTTTCCACGGATCATGACGATTATTTCGCCCTTGAGATCGCCATTCCGTGCTGATGCATTGCTGAGGTGGACAGGTGGGAGGAGCAACCATCGCCCTGTAGGATCGACTTCGCAGAAGAGGAGGTCGCCTCCGACTCCCGTACCTGGTGCGTTGTCGCGGAGTAAGATCTCAACGCGACAACTCATTTCTTGACCACTCGAATGGAACAGATGTAAGTCGAAGTGGTCTCTAGCTCGCACGCAGCGCGTGGAATCAACCCGGACGCCGGCAAGAGGGGCGAGACTTCGGGGATCGCGTGCGCGAGTGGGATCAACGCTAGCCGCGGCTTCGTCTTCGAGGCGGGCTTGTTCGTCGTTCGACCGCTTGCGTGCTGCGATAACTAGGTCTTGGAAAATCTTCGAGATTTGCTCGACGCGCTCGGAAGGTTTTACATGATTGATGCCCTTGATTAATGTGAGCATTTGCAGCAGCATGGACAACTCAGTTCAACATACCTTCAAACTCTTCGACAGATACTTGAGTCGAACCAGTGGGCGTTTGAGCATGTAGGCGACGTCGACACGCTCGCCATCACTGTTGACTACATATCCTTCAGCGTTTCGCGGCATGCCTTCGTCCCATGGGGCACCGTCATCTGGTCCATTGACGACCTTTGCAGGTTTGAACGGGTCGTCATCTGCCGGCGCAAGACTGATTACGACGTCTTGGAAGCCGAGGCGCCACGCAGCAATGTAGTCAGAGTACACTCGTTGTGCGCTCTGAGCCCAGGAAACAAGTGCATCGGAGTCCTCCCTGGGGACGCGCTTGTGCAGGTTCTTAAGTCGCTCTAAGCAGACACCCATGTCGACGATTGGCTTAGTAACTTCACTAGGATCGGACTTGGAGGAGCGAGAGAATAGACCGGCAGCGATAGCGGACTCGGACTTGGAGAGAACGCAGCTAAGAAGGACAGGGATGACACCATCAACCAGTGTGCGAAGCTCTCTCATATATTTGGCTTCGTCAGAGGAGAGCTCTTTCATGATGTCGTCGACAGTGGCAGTGGCAAGGCGGCTTCTGTTGGTACGGATACTTCTGGCAGAGACGATGCTCTTCGAGCTTGCCTTGGGCATGGAAAGCACTGAGATAAGATCCTCATGTCTGGCAAGCTTCCTCCGCCGGGTACTCTGGCGACTGATAATTGTCGAAGTTTCCGGGTTCAAGTACGAGCCTACTTCTGATGCAGGTGCTCCGGGACCAGTGCCTGCTTCCTCGGAGATGGTCGTGATTGTGTCAGAAGCTGGTACCTGCGAGGATCGCGCTGACTGAGAAGCAATGGTTGAAAGGCGCTTGCCAGTCGAAGGGAACATACGCGGTCCTAGAAGTTGTCGCGGTCGCAGAGGCTTAGGCATGGCGTCAAGTACAGGCGCATCAGCAAAAGAAGAAGGGGCGGACGAAGCAGTGTCCAAGTCGGTGATATCATCCTTGGGTATGTCGTCAATCGACGTGGTCTCGCGGAGAGGAGAGGACATAGATCGGCCTTTGGTGGGAGAATACTGGCCGCGCTTTGCACCGCGGCGCTTTAGCGAGGGCGTTGGAGTGACGGACACTTCACTTTCCTGGTCTTGAGTCGTCGCCTCTGTCGTAGTATCCGAGACGACAGTAGATGGGGTCTCGTCGATATCCTGGGTATTGATGGTCATCTCGCGGCTCGACCGTCTCCTGCGCCGTCTGCTACCGCTGCCACTGCTACGGCGGCTCTCGATAGGCTCGTCCCTTGTCGCATCAGTGGACGCGCTGACGTCTGATTTTTCGGCCTTGTAGGGCAAATCGACAGACGAGACTGAATCCTTCGACTTTCTCCTCCTTGGTGATCTCTTGCGTGGCTCATCTTGTGTCGTCCTGGTGGAGGTAGTGACCTCTGAGGCAGTGACTTCCGATGCATCGACGGTAGCGGGGAGGTCGAGGGAGGATACGGATTCTCTGGATTTCCGCCTGCGGCGCGAACGAGTCTTCTTGACTGGGATCTCTTGTGTAGCGTCAGTGGATGCTGTGACGTCTGATTTGCCGGCCTTGGAGGCGGACTCTGGGCTCGACACAGAGTCCTTGGACTTGCGTCTGCGTCGGGGTTTTGACTCTGCCAGAGGGTCGGGCGTGCTGCTGAGCCAGGCTTCTAAGCGGCTTCCCGTGGCCTTGGTGGGAGTGGTCGTCTCTGGGGCTGCTGGAATGATCAAGGGTGTTGCAGCTTCTTCCTGGGTCCTTGGATAGGACCTGCGACTCTTCTTCCGCGAAGGCTTTGGCGCGGGTTTGGTGCTCTCGTCCTCTGTGCGAGCACCGTTGCTTCTCGGTCGACGCCGGCGCCGTCTCTCTCGCAGCTCGTCGTCCCGGGGTGACGTGATGCGGCTCTCGTTGAGCGATGGGGCAGAGCTCTCTGCGTACTCGACCGTGACCATATTGTGGGGGTCGTCGCTCTGTACTGAGCCCGACCGGCGGCCTGGGGGCCGAGTCCACGGCGTGAAGGGCATGAGGTCTTCTGCTGACATGGATGCGCGGGGTGATGTGCGCGCGCGCCGTCTGCTACGCCGCATCCTCACCATCTCCGTCTTCTCTTTCTCGGGCTGGGGCGAAATAGGGTCTGACGGCGTCTCATCGCTCTTGGCGGTCTTTCCACTTCCAGCCCCACTGCTGGCCGGGCGTTGTTCGTTCTCTGAGCTCGACGGTTTCGATGGTCTGCGTGGCTTCGGCGGGGCTTTCTTCTGTCCTGTGCTCTTGCCTATGTACTCCGCGAGGGGCAGGAGCGGGTTTGACTGGGGCGTGACGGGGGCTATGGGCTTGAGCTCAGGGCTTGCGGGCTTCTTGGGGATGATCCTCGAGGGGCGCACCCAGGCGTTGGGGATCGTCTTTGGCTGTGGGCGGCCGGCGGCTTCTTTGGGTGGTGACATTTTGGCGCGCCAGTGCGAGTCGCTGATAACGCGCTTCTTAGGCGCTGTTGCCGTGAGCAGGTCCTCGTCGAGTTCATTGTGGGGGACAGGCGTCTTCTTCGCGCTGCCCGGGCGCTCTGGACTGGCGCCGACCGACTTTCCGCGCTCATGTGTGGGTTTCCAGTTGGGCTTGTCGTCATGAGCTTTCGCCTTGGGCGTGGTCGCGGGCTTGGGCGAGGCGGCGGGCTTTGTGGACGTCTCTGAGGCGGATGCGCCGGCGCCTTCCTTGCTCGCGGCGTCGGGGTCGACCTCCTGCTGCCAGCGCTTTATCTTGTCGCGCACGTTGGCGGGCTTGTTGATGCCAATGGCCTTGGCAAAGTCCTTGCCGTCCATGGCTGCTTGTTTGTCCGTCGCGCCCATCTTCTTGCCCGGCGTGCCATTTCTCTGCTGTCCAGCCGTGTTGTCGGGGTCACTGGGCCGGGGGGAAGCGGGCATCGAGTCCCAGTGTCATTGGAGCTGCGGGCAGACGTCACGGGGACGGGGCGGCTTGCGACGGGCGGGTGCGTGTGTTGTGGTGTTTTGCGAGGGCGTGGCTGACGGGCCGTGTCCAGAGCTACGCCGGAGCTGCCTCTGTGCGGGCGGCTGCGGGATCAACAATTACGACAGCGAGTGTATAGGTGAGTGTGGTGAAAGCTGTCACCCCATAAGAGGGGAACGTTGAATGTAGCGCAGGGCGAGCGAACTGCTAGAGGGACGGTGTGATGTTTGATGACCCAATAATGGCTGCGGCCCGCCAGTAAAACCGGACTGGCCAAGTCTGCCCGCACGTTCCAGTGTCGCCGACAAGCAATACGATAAGCCCATGAGCTTGTGCGAGATCAGCATAAACTTGCCCAGGTGCCATGCAGCGCCGACATCTAGACACGCTCGAGTCCGAGTCCTTCCAGCCTCCTGTTTACACGGCGGCTGAGACATTCCCAGGTTGCTATCTCGCAGCCCAGTCACGTTGGGCTATCCCGCGGGAACATCCATGGAAGACAGGCTCGCCTACCGAACAGTGCACCACGTTGGCCCACGATTCGATCAACAAACCCATGCCGAGCTGTGCTGGCATTACTGGCATTACGACTACATCGAAGATGCGCGCAACAAAGTGCGATGATATGCTCCGCGGCCTGTGATCTAACCCCGCCATCTTATTCAACAGACATCCTTGATGGTACGATGCATGCAAAACGGCAACAACAGGTTTTGTATTTGCCCGCTGCCGAATCCTTGGAGACTATCGTACCACTCAATGCGCTTGTTGCGGAGATTTTACTGTGGGATTGTCTCATGGTTTATTTTAGCCTCCTATGTCTGCTTTTTCTGACCGCAGACGGCCGCCTTGGTAAACGCCAAGACAACGTGTCTACCATACCACTATGCATACCACCTCAACCTTGTAGGGCCAGTCTTTCAACCTCCAAGCTTGCCCGCACAAAGGCCAACGACCCCAAGGGACTGTTATAGACGATTGGCTGTCCCACATAATACTGACACATCTCGTTAGCATTGACATATGCTGTTGCACCCTGCCATTACTCACCTCATAGCTAGCCGTCGAGTTCAGACTGCATACCCCAACCGTGCCGTTCCACCCTAGCGTTCCGTTGCCGTTATGTACGACGAATGTATCGGCGATATACTCATACGCTTTCTTCGCCACATCCACATACGCACTTTGACTGCCGCTGTATGAAGCAGTGCCGTTCCATACTGCATCCGTAGATAGAGCACCCAATCTTACGCCTTTGAGCAACGAGTACACAAACATACTGCTCGCGCTACTCTCCAAGTAATTGCCCTCTTCGCCAGGCCTGTCCATCACCTGGAACCACGCCCCAGTCTTGCCATCTGCGGCTGCTACAACAGCAGGCATGAGTTGCTGGAATCGAGATTGAATGTACTCGCGTGTATGACTCGCATTCGCCGGGAGCAATTCAAATGTATCGATGAGTGCCATACAATACCATCCTAGACTGCGTCCCCACACGTGCGGACTGGCGCCTGTAGCACTGTTGGCCCAGACTGCTGTGCGACGAGCATCGTAGCCGTGGACTAGCAGACCGGTTTCTTCCGAGTAGCAACGCTGCCATAGGAGATCGAGTTGGAACACCACGTCTTCTAGCGTATCCTCAGTCATGGAAGGATTATCAACATCGTTCATGTATGCGGTGAGAAACGGCGTCAGACTGAACATGCCATCCAGGTAACTCCAGTGCGGATAGACATAATACCATAGCCCGCCTTGGTCATTCCTGGGTTGTAAATCGACGCTCTTCCTCAATGCTTCGAATGCTCTTTTGTACTTTCCATCCCCGGTTCCCTGCCATAGTCGTAACAAGCCGTTGCCGCTGCTCAGACGATCCAATGGATAGGTTGTGTCGCGCGTCGCGTTGGAGACGACAGGAACCACAGAGTCGACGCTCTTAGTAATGTAGGTGTCGAGCGCTGGGGCCAGGGAACTGTTTCCATAGGTGGAGAGGATCTGCTGGAACGTCTTCTGGGTAAATCCAGCCTGTAATAGGGCAGACGAGTCGGCCTGGCTGATCAGGATACCCTGGCTCCGAGAGATGATCGACTGGGCCATTTGAATGGAGATGGGAGGAGACGCATGATTTACGGCGTTGGGAAGAGCTGTCGCCGATAGGGCAAAAAGAGACCAATGTGCGAGGGAAGTAGTCGACAGATACATGGTTGTTTGTGTCAAGAGTTCTAGCCCACGTAGAGATGCCGGGAAGTTCTCCAAGTGCTTATGTACCGTTCGGCCTGTTTGTGATGAGCGGCAAGGATCGAGCTTACGACGCGAAAAATACCGACAATAGGGTTTACACTAAAATGGGTGATCGGCAGCCCCGGCGTTACCTGCTGAGTTTCCGGGAACATAAAGGAGTTCTGAAGCTGGTGTCATCTTGCCATAATCTTCTATTAGCATTATCCGAGTCTATCGATCTAGCGCGTCCTGTCCAAGCCACGCCTTCAAAACTAGGGTATCAAGTACCGTGTCTGTATCCAAAATGCTTTTTCAAACCATCCCAACAATCATCCCATAGAAATAATGTCCTTGGCCAAATCACTCCTCCACTCCAGCGGTATTGGTGTCCTTCTTAGAGGCACTGCTTGTATGCGTCTGATGCAGGGAACATGCTTCTAGTTGCGCTTCTTGCCCATCTTCTCAACGAGCTTTGCCGCATCGTTGACAGCCGCGAACGCGCTCCAAGTAGCCATGACACTCTGGTACATGAGGTATCCCGGGATGACGATCCAGAAAGCGTTCATGAGGACAAAGTAGCCCCAGTAGTAGAACTGTTCAGGACGCGAGTATGACAGGTTGAGGATGTAGTGGTCGAACAGCGAGGTAGCATAGTACAGTACGTCGCCGTAGAACTGGCCGAGCGAGACGATGAGTTGGGCCGAGTAGCGGAGCGGGTGGTCGATGGCGATGAGGTAGGCGCAGAGGAAGGAACCGGGGCCCCAGAATACCTGTGAGAATGTTGATCAGTTACTGGCCTTTTAAGTCGAGACAGGACGTATACGTACAGCGGTGACGGTCTCCATGCACAGAACGAAGGCGTCCTGGGTCAGGTAACGCGAGTCGCTGAGCGCGTACTCCTTCCACAGCTGGCCAAAGAGGTCGTTCAGTCCGCCCATATTCCTAAAGTTGTAGGCGAAGTAGCCCTCGAAGAACGAGTGGATGCAGCCGCACAGCACAAACCACATGATGGTGGAGAGGTCGCCGGTGCTGGCATTGGGGCGCAGGCGCTTGACCATCACGTACGTGACACTGAAGATGGCGACGCAGCCGGCAGCGAACATGAGCAGCAGGTCCAGCGTGCCCAGTTCGTTGGCCAGATAGCCCACAATCTCCTTCTCAATGGGGTAGTAAGGGTGCTGGCCCGGGGGCAGCGAGAAGTTGCCGGCTGCCATAGCGAATGATGCGAGTATCGAATTAGACAAAAAATGTAATGCAAGTGGTGCAGAGGTAGAGACGGGAAAGGAGTACAAGAGCGAGTGCGGTGTCTATGGGCGGGCTGCTAGCAATGGGGGCACGGCGTGCGTCGTGGTGCCAGATGGCAGGCCGAGTGGGAAAATATTCCGGGGCAGGAGACGCCATCCAATTGGGACAGCGCTTGTGGCGCGCCCTGGCTGTCAGCGGCAGGGATAAGAAGCGCGACCGCGACTCCCCGTCGTGTCAGATGTCAGCAACTAAAGTCAGGCCGAACACGTAGACATGTGACCCTTCTGGAGTACTCCGTCGGCTGTACCGATGGCTTTATAGTCGTTGTTTGAGCCTGTTCGTGGCTCTTCGTGACTGAGCCCTTATCGCATCCTCTCGGTATGCCAGGTACGGTACGCTCATTTCCCTAGCGCAAAGAGGCGTCCTGCCGTCTCGGATAGGCACTCCAGCCTGCACCCTGCGCGCTCGAGCTCTCGTCTCTGGATAACAAGTCTCAACGCAGAGGCTGTCCGTTCATATACGTAGTGTTGAAGCCGACAGTGGTGCAGATAGGCATAAGACGGACGTGTCCCAGCGCACGTATGCCTCAATGCTCGGAATGCAGAATGCAAATAATGAGTAGGAGATTCGGTAGAACGTACAGCGACAGGCGTTGCTTTAGCCTAGATTTATCTGCTCGCGCGTCCGCGGCGCTGCGAAAGCGACTGGACCAGGTGTCGACGTCCCCGGGCCCCTACCCCTCAAGCTAATCCCAATCTAGTATACCTCGGCTTCTACTCGGGCATCTTCTATGTCCGCGATATCACAGCGTCACTCCTCAATACATCAGAATGTCGCAAGAACGCTCATCTTCAGACAAAGACTGGCGGTCTGTATCGAGGCGGAAGAAAGCAGAACAGAATGAGCGCATACCAAAAGAATGGAAGTTGAATGCCATACCAGGAGCCGTCGTAAAGAGCTACATCGACATACCACGCAAGTCGGAACTATTGACAAAAGAAGAGCTGGATATAACCGAAAAATACGATGCTGTCGCAATTGCCCAAGCAATCAGAGAGAAGAAGCTCAAATGCATCGATGTGACACGCGCTTTCTGTAAAGTGAGCCTTCCCAAATCAGATCACACGTCTTGATAGCCGCTCATGTGCTAACGTCATGGCAGAGAGCAGCAATTGCCCACCAGGTCACCAATTGCCTCACAGAAATCTTCTTTGATGACGCGCTGAAGAGAGCCGAGGAGCTTGACGCCCATCTGGCATCGGGAAAAGCACCCCTTGGGCCACTCCACGGCGTCCCCGTTTCACTGAAAGACACCTTCAGGGTCCGAGGTTATGATGCATCAATCGGCCTTGCAGCTCTCTGCTTCAAGCCAGCACATGAGAACTCGGTTCTGGTTGATTGCTTACTCAACGTCGGGGCAGTTCTCTACTGCAAGACCAACGTACCTCAAACACTCATGGCACTCGACTCCCATAACAACGTCTTCGGGCGAACCATCAATCCTCTTAACACTGCTGTGACCGCTGGTGGAAGCTCGGGTGGCGAGGGCGCTCTAATCGCGATGCGCGGCTCAATTTTGGGTGTAGGCACAGATGTGGGCGGCAGCATCAGGATCCCGGCCATGTGCGATGGTATGTTCGGTATCAAGCCCAGCTGGGAACGTATCCCCTACGCGGGCCAAGAAGGTGGCATGCTTCCTGGGGCAACTAAAGTTGGTATCCCGGCCAGTGCAGGGCCACTCGCACACACCATGCGCGACATCGAACTCTTCTTCAGCGCAGTCGCATCCCAGCAGCCGTGGAACATGGACCCAGATGTCATACCATCGCCATGGAATTCTGTGTCAACTACGCGAAAGAAGCTACGGATTGGCATCGTCCGGCGAGATGGAGTCATTGAACCACATCCACCAATATCCAGCATCTTAGATGAAGTCAAAGCTAAACTGCAAAAGTCTGGTATTGAGGCAGTGGAGATGGACATCACTCCTCTCTTTTCTCAATTTCAATCCCTCGCCAATGCGCTTTTTGGTGTTGAAGGCGGCAACGCTATGTTCGACCTACTAGAATCTTTCAACGAGCCACTTTCGCCATGGCTGTCCACTCGACTCAAACGCAAGAAGCCGATGGACCTTCCCAAAGTCCAGCAATTCCATGGCAAGCGCGAGAAGCTACGGAAGGAGTTTTTAAGCATATGGAAAGATGCGCATGGCGAGATCGATGCTTTCATCTGTCCGGTCGCGCCACATCCCGTGCCGCCCATTGACCGGTACAATGGCGTCAGCTACACGAGTTCGTTTGTACTGTTAGATTACCCGGCCGGTACTGTACCAGTAAGGTCGTTTGAAGAGGCGGATATGAAGGGCGAGATGGCGAGTACGGAGCCATTGGGAAGTTGGGACAAAGCAAACAGGGAGCTTTGTAAGTATTGCTATCTTCTTCGACTCGCTGAAAGAACCGAAGCGCTCATATACTAACACGAACTGCAGGGACCAACGCTGATCGTTCGGTCTACCTTGGCACGCCGCTTTGTGTACAAGTCGTCGCACCCAGATTACAAGAAGAGAAGCTGGTGCAGGCCATGTGTGCCATCGACGATGCTTTGAAGGGCTCAAACACTCTCAGCGCGAAGCTGTAGACCAAGGGTCAAAATGCCTGTACGGTGCACTGTCCACCAAGTATCTCTCCGTACCTCCATCCTTTGAGTCATTCTCATCAGTTGGCGGCAGCTCAAGTCCCGTCTTCTTTCTCACCATCTCATCCCAATCGCCTCGTACAAAGTGACCAAATGCTTCCATGTTCCTTCCTAGCTTTTTCTCGGAGATGCGTTCGACCTTGTTGGTGTATGATAGTACCCGGAAATGGCAAGTGTCGCGGGTAAACGTCGCTGTGCGAAAGGCCACGGTGAAGTATTTGACGTGAGTCAATATCCACTTGTTCAGTAACATCCCCAGAGCGCAGCGTGCTATGTCTTCGACTGGAGGTGGCAGATCGCCATCTTCATCGGGCTCGGTCGGCGGGCATGATAGGTGGAGATACTGGAGGAGTAGTAGGTCTCGTAGAACACCAAGATCCGATATCTCTTGACGGAACTGGTCAGGAGTAATGTCCTCGGTCAAGGCGGGGAATGGAATACCAAGGCTGGCGAGGTTGGTACATTGGGTAGCGATGAAAGCGAGGTCTTTTGTGTGAAGTCGAAGGCTTGGGTTTGCTCCGAGGTGTAGAGATGTCAATGAATGACCAATACTGGGGAGGATGGTGTCCAGGGGAAAGTGGCAGTAATCGGGCTGGTCACTCTTGCTAATGCTGCCTTCCCAGAAGCTTGGTGTGGTGGTGCCCTCGATGATCGGTTTGGCCTTGTCGTAGACCAGGCACAGGGTTTGTAGGTTACTGCAAGACTCTATAAGCGTACATAGTGCCGTCTCCTCGTCCTGCTCGAGTTTCTGAAGCGATTGTTTGAGGATCAGAGACGAAGGATCGATCGATGCGGCATGACAACCGTCCAAGAAGCTGCCAATGCCTACGCAATCCTTGATCGTCAATGAATTGATCGCGCTGATCAGACAGTCGTCTTCGTGCTCGGATATCATCGAATTGCCGTATCCCGCGAGATCAAGGTATGTAACGGAGAAT